ACATATGTTTAAATCTTTTTAGTTTAACCCATTTTACATGTTTAATGAATCCTAAGTGTGCCACATCAGCTTTTCTAAATTAAAAAAAAAAATCAAATAGATTTTCGGGTCTTTTTGTTAAATGCAAACTTGGGATGTCCGGGGAGTTAAATTTCCTCAAATTAACCTAACACAAGTTGAAGTTGCCATCAATCAATCATAATATAATGAATTTCTCTTGTAACCTAAAAAAAAAAATTGTTCAATCTACAGTTGCAGTGCACATTGCAAACTAGAGCCCATAGAGTTCTTCAATCGGCAGTTTGCAAACTGCAATCCACAACAACAACACTCGAGAAAATTGCAAACACTACAATATCCACAACAACACCACTCTAATATCCACGATAACACTCCAAAATCCACAACAACAACAATCAAATATATGAAAATCGCAGATTGCCAACAACCTTTACATTCAAACATCGAAACAAAACCAGAGCATCCAAGAAACATAACGAAACATCTGAAAACAAAATGAAAATCACTAACTTACTTACGATCTTCGATTGCAGCTTCGCCAAAATTAAAACCACTCGGGATTTCACCAATTCAGTGGTTGAAATTGAAAGTTTGAAACTCAATTCCCTGCTAAACAGAGACAAATTGTTGATTAAAAATTAAAAACCAACAAACAATTTCCATCCACTCTGAATTTGTCACTTACAGAGTCAAACACAAACCCAAATCCTTCGCTGTTCAGTTGCCGTCCAACATCCAACCATCAACTGAAAGAGATTTCTTTCAATACATGAAGATTGCAGCTTAGTTTGCAGTGTGATTCGATGTTTGAACTTGAAGAGTCGAGAGAACGAAGCTTAGAGTTCAGACTGGTTTGGACACCGGTCCGGTTGGACTGAGACCCAAGTCACTACGGGTGAAGTAATATAAGCAGTTTTTTATTTGGTCCGGACAGGTCAAGCCTTTGGTTTCTGGTCCGAAGGGTTAAACCGACCGGTTCGGACCGGGTTCCTAATCATTGCATAGAAAACCATATCCTTGATTAGAGATTAAAAACTAAGTTAAGGTTATCCGTCCTAATTATTTAAAGTAATTACAAGTTTTTAAAAATTGTTTGGCTTATTATTTCTGCCCATATTCCCAATCCTATTCTCCAAATAATGTTTGGCACATTATTCCAGAAATATTAGCCTATTTTTTAATTACTTTTAGACCCCATAAGGTTATTCATTTCATCAAATACCCCCTGAAAAAAAAGTTTAAAAATTAACAAAAACACCCCGACAACCCATACTTGCCAGATTCCGGCAATCACCATCGGTGGTAGCCGGAATCTGTACAATGGCCTACCTGCTGACCAAAAATGGCCGGAAGTTCACCGATCTGGCCGGAAAAGGCCAGATTTGGCCTTCAGCGATGGCCAAAGAAATGGCCGTCGTTATATCTTTGGCCATTGCTGACGGCCAAAGATGGACTACTTTTGACATTTTTCGGCCGTCGACGGCAATATTTAGCCGTAGATTTGGCCGGAAAAGGCCATAGCGACGCGTTACGACACAGATCCGACCGGTCTGTGTCGTAATAAAATTTTCCGGCCAGATTCCGGCAGTGGTGGCCGGAATCTGGCATTGCAGGTGGTGGGAGTGTTTTTGTCATTTTATATATTAGGGTGTTTAATTAAATTAGCAAACCTAGGGGCTTTTTCATAAATTTTTAAATTTTACCTCGTAATACTCCCCTATCTAACTACCCAATATTATTCCCAAAATCCTATCCAAAATAATAAACCAAACGCACCCAAGAAGTCTGAATTTTAAAACATCTCCATTAAGTCCAAGACAAGGCACGTTCATTATTGATCGATCCAAGCAGAAAAGAAAACAACATTATTGTTGCTTAATTACACTCACATGGTTGGGAAACAAGCCATGTTGCTGGTTGCTCGACAATTTAAGAAATGTACCATTTAATATTAATCAAATTTTGATGGACATGTGAAGATCTAGTTTTATAATTATTATGTACTCATTAATTGGTAATCAAGACTCAAATTAAGAAACCATTAAACTTTTATGGGAAAATAAAAAATTATTTATCTATAAGAATGCATTATTGAGGTTGATACAATCCAAATCATGATATAATTTCTAGATTGTAAGCATTTATATAATTTCATTTAACATCTTGTTAAGTGTGATTTTTTTTTTTTTTTTTTCAGACGTGAAACTCATCTACGATAATATAAACTTTTGAATAATATAATACTAGTAAGATCAAAATTATAAATAATGTGATTATTAATTTGTTATTTAATATAAACTTGATTATTAGTTGTATGATATATACCTTTTGGTGTTTGAAGCTTAAGAAGATAATCTACACATAAATAATGTCGAAATTTAAGAATATACAAAGGTTTCCCACCTGACTAAGGAAAAGAAATAAATAAAAAACCAAAGCTTTTTCTCAAGAGCTTGGCCAATGGAATAATTTAACCATTATTATAAATTCTAATCTATTTATCCTTCCTGATTTTGTAGCTTGAGATTTGTTAACTTAATGCTTAATCACTTGACCCAAAGTTAGAGTTTAATAGACTTGATTGACAGCACAAAGTACTAGGTTAAAACTTAATTAACTTCATGTATTGTATTAAAGTCTTATATACTAAAATGATTTATAATTTCATTAATTAGTACGTGGAAAGAGGCTTCCAAAGATTAATGGGTTGACAAGGCTAAGAAATCAATAATCTAGATTCTTCTAACCGCCCACTCTGATTAAAGAAGCATCAGTCTCTTGATCTGAATCTAATCAAACCCATACATTCCTTAAATTACAATAATTCATTATTCACATCCAAAAAGAGACAGACAATTAACCACATTGGTCAACCTAAAATCCCTGGGTTTTCTTTCTTTTTGGCTTGGTTGGTGATTGAAATATAAGTGAGTGGTTGTGATGATTCCAACTCAAAACCATCTTTCATGTTTTGAGTTTGGGAAATGTGAGGTGTCCCATGCTGACTCATTTCCACGTATAAGTTTTCTGAATCAGTACAAAGAAAACATCTTTTCGGTCCAAAGTTTTCTTTATCATCTTGTGAGCCAAACTAGAAGTTGAATAGAGATAAAGCTTTCTATTTGCTTAAGGGGGCTGGTTTCCTTTTATTAATTAATAAAGAGTTTATTTCATTAACCCTTACGAAGATTGTTTGATATAATGCCACCCAAACATTTTGGAAATTATTAAAAATCTCTTTATAATTATTATAAACTCTTTTCTATTTTAGGGGGTTTTCTATGATTATAAAGAGATATATGATGATTTTTGAAAAATATGTATGCATTTTATATTAAATAATCTTACCAGAGCCATTTGATGATCTACCAGAAGAATCTCTCTATCATTTTGTGTTGGTAAAACGAATACGAGCTTTTTGATAAGCTAGAAAAGAAAGAAATTGAAAACAGAAAAAGAAAAAGAAAGCTTTAAGCTTTGTGATTTCAAGGGGCGGCAACCCATGTGGATGTGATGTGATATCAACTTTCTAAAATGTAGACCTTTACACGCAAAAACTAGTTACATTTTCACATTCCCACGTTTCATCCATCCCAACTCTCTATTTTTGTTTATTTTATTACTACTCTTTCAACTTAATTTTCAAGGATAGTTTTGGATTCATAATACTTCATTTTTCAGTATGTTTTTTTACCCTCATTAAAATTTAAATAATTAATTATTACATAACACACTTCTTCCTATTCACCAATTTTAATTAAACCCATCTTCTAAATGCATGAACTTGTTCTTCATATAACCTAATTCCAAATATCAATATGGATGTATGAACATGATTGACGCAATATGATTGATTAATGTAAAATTCCAATTTCTTTTTTAATGAAAGTGTACATTGCCACCAAAGCCTAAACCAAACTCATATACTCTTTTTATATATAGAAAGATGGAGAGAAAGAGAGGAAACTGAAGGAGTTGGTTCATTCAACAATTTAATTACTTTATTTAGAGTAAGAGAAAAAAAGAAGGTGATGTATATTTTTAATATAACTCTTTTGCTAAAAAAAGGTTTTTGTGAATTTTATTCAGAATATATATCATGCCTGAATTAAAAAATGCCTTGAGATTAAGTATACTTCACATAAAATATAAATGCCATGCATTGAGCTATATATACTCCAATATATATTTTAAGTAACAATTAAGCTTATTAATTAATCACCAAAACTGCAAAGGAAATATTGTGAAAATTGAAATTCCATTGAAAATATAATATAATATATCTTTTTTATTTTATGTACTTGACTGATCGATGTTGCCAACTGTTAGTAGTGTATGGATCATAAGTGAATGATAAATCATCTGTTAAAATAGATAAAGTAGCTTAAAAAAAGGATTATTTATTGTTTAAGGATAAATTAATACCATGACATTAATTATTGCTGACACGTGTTTATTATTTTTCATCCTGATTGAGAATTTCATTACGTATTAATTAATTGCAAAAAGAGGATTAAGTTATGTTATTAACAGTTAGCATTATTTAAACCATTAGATCAACCTAGAATCCTTAATTATGAACTAGCTATTAATATTTTTCATGATAATTTTGGTTTAAGATATTATGATTTACCTTTTTAATTTAACCTTTTGATGAATCATTGATCTTTATTAATCTAATAGTAACTATATATCTTAGCTGACATTAAATATAACTATTTTAAACATTCATCACCAATAAAAATGAACGACAAAAATTTAATTACAATATCCTAATCCAATAATTTTATTAGCGAAAATTTAAGAAATATAAACGATAAAAATTTAAAACACGGTATACCAACCCAACAATTTTACTAGTGAAAAATCAAGAAATAGGTCGGTGGGTGAAGAAAGTAAAATCATATTCAATAGGTTCTTTATTAAAATTCATTTCTCTATAAATCTGCAAACCCTGCTCCACTGGTTTCTCCCCTTTTCTTCCTCTTCTCTTCTCATGAGTCTTGAAGATTGGAAAGAAATAATAAACAAAAAGGTTCTTTGCACATGTAGTGGCATTGCATGTGCCCCGGAATCACTTAACCCCACCGTCCATTCCATTACACCTAATCTCATCTTCCATATATAAACTCCTCCGTTTTGTGTATACTCTCATTCCGTTTTGAATCTTTTTGAATTCCATCTTTTATTTTTAAGTTATAGTGCAAAAATAATGGGTGAGGAAGTCAAGCAGGAACAAGCCAAAGCTGAGGAGAAAAAAGAAGAGAAAGTAGAGGAAAAGAAAGAGGAGAAACCAGCTGAAGAAGTGAAGGAAGAGCCAAAGCCACCTGCCCCTTTTGTGTTATATGTGGACTTGCATTGTGTGGGATGCGCCAAGAAGATCGAGAAGTCTATCATGAGAATAAGAGGTATGTCAATTTCTCTCTATTAATTTATGATTTTCCTCGAGTTTTCGTGTTTTGAAAGTATTGCATAATAACGAATGTCGTCGAACAGGAGTGGAAGGCGTTACAACAGATATGGTTCAAAATCAAGTGACAATAAAGGGAATAGTGGAACCTCAAGCAGTGTGCGCAAAAATTATGAAGAAAACAAAGAGAAGAGCAAAAGTTTTGTCTCCATTGTCAGCATCTGAGGGCGAACCTATGCCAGAAGTTGTCACTTCACAGGTTTTAAAGCAACTCAATTTATTATAAAATCAATTTTAAAAATATTTTTAGTATAAATTTTAAGATTTAATTAATTTCACCTCAATTCCTCCTAATATTAATTTAATTTATGGTGTTGTTTTGGGTAAACTAAACTATTCAAGGTTAGTGGATTAACTACTGTGGAGCTTAGCGTAAACATGCACTGTGAGGCCTGTGCAGAGCAACTTAAGAAAAAGATACTCAAAATGAGAGGTACTCTACTTTTTCTAATGGCTGCCATTTTATTAATGGTTGATAATTCATAGCATAATATGATTTTTGAGATCAAAAGTTAAATTGAATAGACACTTTTAAGGAAAAAATAATTAATCTTAAAGATATAGTGCCAAAACGGATTTCCATAATTTAATCTATATATATTGTTTTTAGTACTTTAACACAAAACAAGCTGGTGCTAGAAAATAATGTTGATTTTGCATATTTTTCATTAGAAGTATCAATTTGATGATGATTAATATATTGTTTTTAGTACTTAAAAAAAAAAAAAAAAAGAAATAAAAAAAACAAATAAAAAACAAATAAAATAATTTAAAATATTTTTTTCTTCATTTGAAGAATTGGTTTGATGACGATTAATTAATACAGGAGTACAAACAGTCCTGACGGAGCTGAGCACAGAGAAAGTAACTGTTACAGGGACAATGGACGCAAACAAGCTTGTGGATTATGTGTATAGACGCACCAAGAAACAGGCAAAGATTGTGCCACAGCCTGAACCTGAGCCACAGCCCGAGCCACCGGCAGAAGAGAAAAAGGAAGAGGAAAATAAGGAAGCTCAGAAGCCAGCTGAAGAAGAAGCTAAGCCTGCAGAAGAGAAAGTGGAAGAGGAAAAGCCTCCAGAAGAAGCAGCTAAAAAAGAAGAAGAAGGATCAGAGAACATTAATATTGAAGAAGAAAATATGAAGAGGATGATGTATTTATACCAGCCTGTTTATGTGATTGAACAAATCCCACCTCCTCAGCTCTTTAGCGATGAGAATCCAAACGCTTGTACTATATCATAGTCTTGTTATTAACATTTTATAGTAACAAAAAAGAAAAAAGTTACTGTAATAATGTTGATATATATAATCTTCATCACTTGTTATTTAATCCAGCGGTGACGATTTGGAGTAGTTAAAGTTGTTGATTAATAATATATATACTTTTAGATATATAATTAATCATTCTCTGTCTGTTATATATTTTGTACTTAATTCAACTAATGAATATGAATGTACATGTTTTATATAGAATAGTTGATCATCTAACTAGGGGTGTTCGGTTCTGAATACCCTGCACTTTTGAAAGGAACCGGAACCGACGGTTCCTTGAATTTTGGAACCGGAACCGGAACCGACGGTTCCGGTTCCTAGATACCCAGAACCAGAACCTGTAACAACGGTTTCGGTTCTGGTTCTGGGTACCCTGTAAAATTTCTTATCTGTCCCCCAAGTTTTTAAAATAACAAAAAAACTCTTAAAAACTTACAAATACCCCCCACTTGGCACTTGTTATTAACAAAATTAAAATTATAAATTTCAAATTTCAAACTCCAAAATTAAAATAATACAATACTCCGTTGAAAATCACAAATTCAAAATTATAAACTCCAAAACTAAAACGATGAAATTACAAAACAGATTTCATCCTCCTCAGCTCACAAAATGTTCTCTTAAGGAAACTGCATTTCCTTTGCTGCCCCTGTCCAGTGAATTTCCCAGGCTGCCCTTTTTCTTCTTTTTGTATAATTTGGTTGTAGGAGGCTTATCACAATGACATTGTTCCTGCAAAAAATTTGCCAAGTTCAACTTCAAAAGAATTTAACATACATATAATGTTTAATAAACATAGTGACCAAAGGCAACTTCCTTATGCCATGGGCTGTTTCTCTTGTGTTCTATAAAAACAATCAAAATCTAGACCCAATTGATTAAGACATTCCAAAAAATTCCTAAAAGACAGCAACAAGCAAAGAACCCCAATACAGAATCATTGCCATCTCCCAATTGTGAGATGAATAAAGAAAAAAGTGCACATCTTTAATTCCCAGGAAATGGAAGCCCTGAGAGAAGCCCAATACTTGGCCAAGCTCCATAAATACTAGACTTCTCCCCATTATATGTTTAAAACTCTACTGACTCCACTTTCAATTTTATACTTTTCTATTTCAGTATACTGGACGGGAGAATTTAAAAGACATGTATACTCTCTTGAATATTGGCTTACACCACTTGGCCTTTCTTTTAAAGGAATCAATCATCAAAGAAAATTAAATGCATACAGATCCAGCCCATAGCTCAATATGAAATACTAGAAATTACGCATAATATTGTGGAATGAGAAATGGGAAAAGAATAAAAGAATGCAAATAGAATATACATCAGCAATGCAGAGAATAGAGGGGATAGAAAGAAAGAATATACCAGGTAATTCTGCCACTGATTTACTGCAAGCAAACTTTTTTTGCAGCTCTGATGCTAATGCTTCAGCATCCAGCAAGAACGATTCCAGACCTGAAACTTTTGTCACCTTCTTGTTTCCTTGTCGCGTTCCGTTAATATCTGAATTGTTTTCAGAGCACCTTTACGAACAACAGACTCGTTTCCTCGGGTCACAACATGGTGGGGCTGCATCCGGCTTAAAATAAATTCAAACACGCATACACATTTCTTAAAATAAAAGTCCTGTCCGGGCTTTGCACACAATACTCAAAGATCACAATACCCAGCACCAGCACAGATATATAAAATCAAATCCATCACAAATAAACCCAGTGCTAACTTGATAACCACTTTTTACACAATAATTAATCAGTATACACATTAGAGAGTATAAGGAGATAGAGTTCATTTATGGTTAAATAAAATTCAGAAATAAAATTAAAAGAAAGAAATGGAAATTACCTTAAGAAATTAGAGTGCTTTAGTGTCTTCTTCTAGATTCCAAGGATCACGCTTCACCAAACAAATTAAAAGAAAAAAAGGCTGAAGTTTTTGCCTTGATCTGAAGTGAGTGGACAGAGAGCAAGAGCAGAGGAAGACGTGAGAAGGGAAGAAAGAAAATGAAATTTTTTGCCCTAATCTGAAGTTTTTATATGTGGCAGGTAAATTACGAAAACCCCCCCACTCTTTAATAATATTTATTTCAGTCCCGGTTCTCGGTTCCGGTTCCGGTTCTTGACTGTAGGAACCGGAACCGGAACCGTACAGTGTCGGTTCCAGATTTTTGGAACCAGAACCTACCCGTTGACGATCGGTTCTGGGTAGGAACCAGAACCAAATCCCGGGTACCCAACGGTTCCGGTTCCGAACGGTTCTTTTGAACACCCCTACATCTAACTCTATTAATCATTTTCTTAATAAATCAATTTAAACAAAGATGTGATGACTACTATTACTACACATATACAAAGAATTCTAGCTAAATTTAGGTGAAGAAAATTGTTAAGAATCAATCAAACCCAAACCTAACCTGTTCCTCTATCCAACACAACCAACATACACTCAAGAATCAACACAAACAATAAAGAATCGAAAAACAAGAACAAAGCCAAGATTTTACCGTGGTTCGTTTATCCCAAAGGAATAAACTACATCCACGTTGAACTCCAAGTAAAATGGAGGCTCACTGCACTATAAGGATCAATCCAATTACAGATTACAACTCGATCAAGAACAACAACTCAAATCTCTCACTCACCCAACCTTCAAATCACCCGTAATCTCCACACAAAGACAACTAATATAAGCGTCTCTACCAGAAGAACCTAATACTTCTTCTACCTACAATTTAACTGATAAACTGCAACAGATTACAAAACTGAAGATTAAACCACACTAAGAACAAACCCTAGTAGAGATGAACAACGCGAGAGAGAGTGTATTGAACTATTCTGTTTCTGTGAAACTTTAACTTTAAATAGGTTGACCTATAGGCTTGATTTGCACTGTTGGATTAGACTGGAATCAAAGGCTGAGATCTGTCACTTAACAAATCTTCAAAACGATAGCGTATTGATCACTCCAATACGACACCGTTTGAAGCTTCACTCAACAATCTCCACCTTGAAGCTTCAACACCTCACATGATCAGATACCTTACCAGTGCAGTTCACCCACAAGTTACTCATCATAGCTTGGTTGCTGCCTCTCACTTAATATGCAGCAGGTTCAAGCAGTGCTTGAACTTGGTTGGATAGACTACCTTTGTTCCCATATCTAAAGGGTTATCCTCAGTTGGCACTTTTTTCAGAATGACCACTCCTCTATCCACCATCTCCCTTACAAAATGGTATTTAACATCAACATGTTTGGTTCTCTCGTGATATACGGGGTTCTTGCTTAGATGTATGGCACTTTGGCTGTCTGAATAGATAGTGACAGCACCCTCCAATAGCTTAACTTCTGACAGTAACCCTTGGAGCCATAGAACTTCTTTGAAAACTTCTGTTACAGCCACATACTCTGCCTCAGTTGTGGATAGGCAACGATTGGCTGGAGTTGAGACTTCCAGCTCACACAATTTCCTCCCAAGGTGAATACGTATGCAGTGGTTGATTTCCGTGAATCCTTGTCACCTTGAAAGTCAGAATCTACGAATCCTACAAGATCAAGTGAGTCATATCTTTTTCCATATTCCAAGCCAACATGCACATATCTATTAATGTATCTAAGAAGCCATTTAAGGGCAAGCCAATGTTCAAAACCAGGATTTGACATAAATCTGCTTAAGAGGGAAATTGCAAAGGAAAGGACTAGTCTGGTGCCATACATTACTGAGCCAACTACATTTGTATAAGGGATATTTTCCATTTTGATTAAATCAGCATCAGCTTTGGGGCATTGTGATTTACTTAGCATAAAGTGACCAGCCAAGGGTACATTCACAGTTTTAGATCCTGCCATGCCAAATCTAGACACTAATTTTTCCAGGTAAGCCTTCTGATGGACTTTTAACTCATAGTCCTTTTTGTTTCTATCTATTACCATGCCTAGGATCCGTTTAGCACTTCCTAAATCCTTCATGTCAAATTCAGAGTTCAATTTTTTCTTTAACTCTTCTATCCTAGGCTTAGACTTGCAAATTAAAAGCATGTCATCAACATACAATAGTAAATATAAAGGCATGTCATCATATAGAGCATAATAGAAACAATTATCATATTTTCTTCTATTGAAGCCAATGCTAAGAATAAAAGCATCAAAACGTTTATACCACTGCCTATGGGACTGTTTCAGTCCATATAAGGATTTGTGAAGTAAGCATACATGGTTGGGCAGGTTTCTATCTACAAAACCTATGGGCTGTCTCATGTAAATCCTTTCTTCTAAGTTCCCATAACATCCAGTTGTTCTAATTCTAAGTCCTTATAGGCTACTATGGCTAACATGATCCTAATGGTCTTATATTTTACAACGGGGGAGAATATCTCATTAAAGTCTATTCCCTCCCACTGTGTGTAGCCTTTGGCTACCAACCTAGCCTTATACCTAGGAGGGTCAGAAAAATCCATACCTTCTTTAAGCTTGAATAACCATCTGCATTTAATCAGTTTCTGGTCTTTGGGATTTGGAACCAAAGACCAGGTTCCATTTACCTGTAGGGACAACATCTCTTTCTCCATTGCAGTTTGCCATTTTTCTTTGTCTTTGGATCTAATTGCTTCTTCATAGCAGTCTGGTTCTGTCATCTGAACTTGAGCCCCTGCCACCAGGGCTGTGTAAATCAAATCAGCGTAGGAGTATCTTGTTGGTGGCCTGATTTCTCTTCTACTTCTATCCTTGGCTAACTGGTACTAGGCTAAGGGATCAGTATGGGGTTCAACAGCTTCTATTGCATTTTCCTCTTCTAACTCAGGGTCTAGGTCTGGCTCATTGACTTCAGCTTCCTGATGTTCCAAATCAGATTGAATTTCAGCAGGCTCCACCTCAATTTGGACTTTCTCAGGTTGATCCTGGTTTATAGGTTTGCTGCTTGTTGATCCTGCATCAGGGTTAGCAACTTTGCAAGGAAATATATTTTCATTGAAAATTACATCCCTACTGATTATTATTCTAACTCCTGGGGCACTCCTCTCCCAAAGCCTATACTCTTTGGTTCCCTCTTGATAATCTAGGAAGACATACCTAAGGGACCTAGGCTCTAACTTCCTTTCACTGTTATGGACATATGCAACACATCC